GGACAGGCATGTTATCTAGGCATGGAAAGTATTTTTTTCTGGAAAGGTTAAAGAGCACATTTTGGGGGGGGGGGGTTTGGTTTTTCTCCAGTACCAGGAACCGAACTCACGACCTTGCGCTTGCCAGGCAGGCGCTTTGCCGCTGAGCTAAATCCCCAGCCCCAAAGAGCACATTTAAAACCCAGTCCAGCTTCCCATTTGGGATGCCTTCCATCTTGGCTTATTTGCTCAGAGATGGAGGAGACTTGCCTGAATGCAGAGTACCTAGGGAGGCCTGGCTGTCACTTATATACTCCAGTCTAAACTTCCTAGAGATGCTCTTTTAAGCAGTGTAAGTCTTTATTCCCACAGTGGCTAGCACAAGGCCAAGCATTCAGTCAAGGGTTACTGAATCAGTTTTTAAAAAGTCATCACTGCGTGCAGTTCATCTTTGTTCTTTTTACAGTTCAAATAGAATTTCTTTTCCATGCATGAGATTCAGTTGTAGAGAACTGTGAGCTGGAGCTGACATGGAAGATGCCATTCAGTACTCTATCTTTTCTCTGGTGCTGTGAAAATAGAAAAAATAAAGTGTTGGTCTGGGGGAAGTCTCTAATTCTCATTCTCATTACATTTCTGACCTTGGAAAGAATGTTTATTCTCCCTGGTCTTGGTTTCTTGATCTGTAAAATCAGAAATTGTGTGATCTTTTATATTTGTTCCTCTCTAAAGTTCTGTGAATCTGGTGCTAGGATTTTAGGTCTACCTCTCACTGATGATAGAGATAGGAGACTAGGAATTATGAAAAGAAAGGAAGATCATAAATTCTTTATGACAAAGTTTCATCTAAAACTCATCTCTGCTCAAAAGTAAATTAGAGATATTCTTTAGTTAAGCCACATTTGTCCTTGTAAATGTCAAACACAGGTGTAGTTTTAAAGTGTAGTAAACACTATATTTGGTTCTTTTATAAAACAGATTCATTTAAAGTGTATTCAGTTCAGTGATTTTTAATATATTCACAGTTTCCAACCTTCACCACTAATTTTAGATAACTTTATTACCATGAAAAAAAAAACTCACTGGTTAGCACTTGCTCAAACCTAGATACCATTAATGTACTTTCAGTCTCTATTTGTCTGTTCTAGACAAATAAATGGAATTATACAGTATATGGCCTTTTGTGACTGACTTCTTTCACTTAGCATAATATTTTTAAGGTTTATCATGTTGTAGCATGTATTATCAATTTGCTTTTTATTGTTTGATATTCCATTATATAGGAACATCATATTTATATATTCATCAGCTCATGGATATTTGGGGTGTTCTACTTTTGAGTATTATGAACAATGCTGTTATGAACATTTGGGTACAAGTTTTTGCATGGATGTGTGTTTTCAGTACTCTTGGGTCTATATCTAGGAGTAGAATTGCTGGGTCATAGAGTAACTTTGTTTTTTCATTTTGAAACTATTCCAAACTGTTGTCCAGAGTGCCACACTATGTGCACTCCCATCAGCAGTGTGTAAGAGTCTTATTTCTCCACATCCTTGCCCACATTTGTCTTTACTTGTCTTTTTAACGAGTCATCCTAATGAGTATGAAATGGTATCTCATTGTAGTTTGTTTGTATTTCCCATATGGCTAATGAAACTGGGCTTATTTTTGTGCTTTTATTAACCATTTTTATGTCTTTCTCAGAGAAATGTCCTCAGATTCTTTGGCTATTTTTAAGTTTTGTTTCTATTTTTAGTATTGAGTTCTTAGCATTTTCTAGATACAAGTCCCTAGTTAGATATATGATTTGCAGTATTTTTCTCCTATTTTATGTTCCATTCTTGAATGCATTTTTTTAAAGTACTGGCATCTCAAAGGACAAGTATCTTGAGTTAAACCCTATTTTACAGAAACACAAAGAATCTTTTTCTTCCTAAAATACTTATGACACAGCAGGCCATAAAACATATGATGTCTCTGACAAGGGAATTGGTACCAATGAGAAAAATCAGTCTCCTAAGTTATAAAGAGGAAAAACATCATCAAATCCATGTGATTGAAATTACTCAGAGAGTATCACAAACAGATATTTATGGAACACAATTATATACTGAGATTGAATAAGAACAGTTGAGGGACTGATTCTCTTCTCAATAGGTTTGACAGTTATGATGACAACATAAAGAGTTTTTTGAAAGCTCTATTTGCTATAAGATTTTTTAAAATCATTCTTCAGAAAGTTTTAGTTGCTTCCATCTATATATTTGCAAATATTAAATATTTAGTTCAATAACTTTTATACACATGTTGGAAATAAAAAGTACGTGTGTGTGTGTGTATATATATATATATATATATATATATATATATATATATTTAAATCATGTATTGGTTAACAATACAGATATGTCCTAAGAATTGAATTAGAAATTTTTGTCACCATGCAAACATCATAGAGTGTATTCACACAAACTAAGATGGCTGCCATGTCATTAAGTGATAGAATCTTCTGAGACCACTGTTGTAGGCATGATCTGTCATTAATTGAAGCATCGCGATATGGCGTATGACTGCATATATATTTTAAATCTCTCTGTTTTAGTAACATCAGTGGTGTTAATGTTTTAAGTGGTATCTTCAGTTCAGCCTTCAAAGGAGATTGATTCATTCACTGAACAAATGCTTATTGCATCATCTATGTGCCAAGCTCTGGGCTAAAAACTAGAAGAATGGTGGAGGATAAAATAGACCATGGTTGTACTTCATGGAAATTATAAACAAAGTGAAAATAGAAATAATGTAGAATTACCTATTTTTAAAAATTGTTATGAAAGAAGAGGAAAGAGTGCCAAAAGAGAATGACAACGGTGCCTATTTCAGGCAGAGGGGAGTCAAAATTCTCTGAGACATAAAGAGGATTAGATGGAGCCCTCCCGAGGGGGAGGAGAACATTGCAGGAAGAGGGAACCCATGACAAGTGCCATCCAAGGCCAGGGTCAGGAAGTATTTGATGGGTTTTAAGAATGGCAGGAGCACCAATGGGACAAAGAGATGGTATGAACAAAGCAGAAAAGGGAATGCAATCGGCAAGAAAGGAAGTGGCTAGTTAACATGGGACCTCAAAGGCACATTAAGGAATTTGAGTGTTATTCAGAAAGTAGTTGAATAATTTTGAGGATTTTAGCAGAGGAAATGACATGATTTGATATAAACTTTAGAAAGATCATATAGGTCACAAAGACTGATGTGTGGAAATGAGATAGAAATAGAACCAAGATGACCACTTTGGAGGCATTTATAGTTCCTAGAGTAACAGGATGGTAGATTGGACTAAAACAGGCAGTGGAAAGTTGACAAGGTAATAATTTGGGATTATTTTAGAGAAATAGTGAAATAGCTGTATGACTACAAATTGGTGTTCCTTTAGCACTATCTCCTTAGTAATGAAATAGTTATAGTACTAGGTCCCCTCCATGGAATTATTGTTAAAATAGGATGAGTTAATAATGCTATGTATGCATATAATGAATGCTTTAATTGAGTAAGGTTTCATTGTTTTACTCCTCAGATAAACAAATGTTGGTGGTGGTTTGAGTGGGAAGATGAGGTGTCAAAGACATTGGCCAAGACTGTGGCTTGAGCATCAGGTGGTTGGTGGTGCTAGTTCCTACAAGACAGGAAACTGGAGAGAAAGAAGGGTTTGAGGGAAAAGTCCAGAATCTGAGTTTGGACATGTTGGCCTGAGATGTGTGTGAGATACCTGAGCAGAGGTGTCAGGAAGCTACAATGTGATGCTCAGAGTAGTGTCCGAGGCCAGAGACAGAGCCTGTGTTCGATACTGTACTACAGTGTATAAACTTGCAAAAACAGTCAGCATTTGGAAGTAATTCAGCCTTGTCCTAGGCTAGCCAGTGGGATAGGAGAAGAATTTGACAAGCCAGGTTTTCCTGGGACAGAGGCCGATACGGCAAAAGCATTGAAGACCTTACCAAAGACACCATCTTTGGGACTTTACTCATCTGTTTACTATTTGGGTGCCTGCAAGAAGTTAAAAGTGCTGGTGAGAGAACCCATGGGTTAAGGAGGAAGAATCGTGGACAGCTCCCAGGTTCCTGTTTGAGTGCCAAGCGTTGGTGGTGCTCCTTGCTGGGAAACTGGAGACTAGAGTAGAAAGAAGCATGCTTCTTTCAACATCAGCTGGGGAGATTAGTGGATCTTCCTCATAGGTGAAAATCAGAAAGAATGTATGTAAAATTACAAGCACAGTGCTTGGCACATAGTGCATGCTCAGTAAATGTCTTTGTATGACTCTGGGCCTTTATCGCCTTCCTTCCTCAGCTGTAGGCATCTCTACCACTGCGTCTAGATCTGCTTCCATTTCTGGATGACAGCGCAAGGTGGGTATAGTGCAGGGAGCAGTCAGAGCCAGGACAAGGGTGAAGGGTATAAGGACATTGTCTTGGGCACAAAATTTAAGAGAGTGCTAAACAATTAAGTCATCAAGAAAACTAGTTTAATGTGCTATTTTAAAAGTCAATGCAAATAGAATCTATGAATAAAATACTAATTCTAAAGAATCAGAATTACTGGTTTCTCTTCTTCCCTCTGCTCTGTCATTCAGTTAGGCAGTGGAACAAGGTGAAAGCAAAACATAAATCCTCTCCCAGCCCCTAAGATTCTTTCTCATTTCTTCCATAGCTGCTAGCTCTCATCAGCAGACAGCCAGTCTACACATCTCTAGGTGCCAAAGACACCAAAAAGTGTCCCAGCACCCATGATTCTGAGTGCCCTTGAGCTTGAGGCTTGTGGCCCCTGCTATCCCAGCCCCCCTTTCTATCAGTTGCAACATGGGAGTTGAAGCAAGGTTTTCTGGTCCACTCCACCTCAGTAAACTCACACCGTGTGACCCCTGGAACTGTTGCATAAACACAAAATGAAATAACCCAATGCTCTATAAAAGGCTGGAGTTTAAAGGTCGGCTTTGTGCTCATCGACTGTAAGTCTGATTTACTCCCTACACGACTCTCAGAGAGGCCTGTGCTTGTAACAGGACCTGAGAAGATGAGCTGTTCGATTCGGAGTGGGGAGCTATTTGCTTTGCAAGGAATTGTCTTTGCCAATAAGAACAGTGGGTCCGGAGCAGACAGAAGATGAATGGAGGTCCCTGCACCAGGAATGCTTCCTTCTGACTTTGACATAGAAAGCTAAAGGTATCTGTGTTGGCTTGTGGCTTATGGCTCTTTCCCATGAAAATCAGAAAAGTCCCATGGAGACAATTCAGTAACTTAAATGTTGTCAGCAGGTTGACAATAAACAATTAAAAGACAGATTTATCATAATTTCTATCATAAAGAAATCATTTGTGGAATTTTGAGTTTGTGTGTCAGTGTTCCTATAACAGTAGTTAGCTGTGGAAAACCTAGGTTTAAAAAAATTATATTACTTGAGTATTATTATTTCAATTTAAAGAAAAAAATCACCCTGATCTTTAGAAGATTTTGCTGTAAATATGATAGACTATCATAATGTGTGTTTATGAATGGCTTTGGATGAAATAAAAATAAACAGAAAGAATTTACTGGGCTAGACCAAAGCTGTTATATACTCTTGATTACATGTCAGTGGCACTTTAAGATTGCAGTATTTTATTTGGTGACCTTCATACCAGTTGACTGTATATACCTTAATCTCTCAAAAAAAGCTGAGCCTGATATAGATTGGTCAGTGAATTTGTCTTTCTTTCTTTCTTTTGCGCAGTTTTTTCATTTACATTACACTTTATAACACCTGGTTTAATTTGTACAGCAAGATGAAGTTCATTATTACACAACTCAGAAACCCATTTTTAAGATAAGTAAGTGCAAGAGTTGTCCTGCATTGAGACCAAAAGTTCTTGTAGATATATCAAGTAACCTTTTTTGTTTGTCTTTTTTTGAGACAGGGTCTCGCTATGCAGTTCAGACTTCCCTTGAGCTCACTTTGTAGCCCAGGCTAGTCACAAATTCACAGTAATCCTCTTGCCTCAGTCTCCTGAGTGCTGGGATTACAGGCGTGCACTACCACACATGGCTCCAAGTAGCACATTTTTAATACTGAAAGTAGTGAATGCTTCAGAAATAATGTACACTATGTACATAAATGCACAAGGCAGAAGAAAATATTATTTCTTATAATGAGTTGCTTTCAAAGTTTGAAACTCTTGAGTTGTTTTTCGACTTGAAACTCATGACTAAAAGTTCAGAGGGAATAACTATCACAACAAATCAGCTTTTGTGAAGGTAGCCAAAGTGAAAAGATAAGGTATGCTTTCATTTATATGGTTCTGTTACCTGTTTCTCTTTGATTACTTAGTCCTTGTTTTCCTAGAATTAAAACAAAGACTTTTCAGACTATAGTCCCCAAGCTACAGTTGTACAGTACACTGGAAGTTTCTTTTCTTTCTTAAGGAATTAAGCAAAATTTTCACTTGTATAAAATAAAAATATTTAACTTGGGATACTTTGTTCAAAGGCATCTGATTTGCATTCCTCCCTTACCCTCCCTCCATTTTCTTTCTGGTCTGACCAGTTTGCCTTCCTCCTTCCTTCTGCTCTCCCTTCCTTTCTTTCTTTATTCATTCTTATGATGTTCATCTGAGTGCGTAGATATTAGATTGTCTTATTTCTACCTCTATGATTATTTTTAAATCAAAGCAGCTAAGTCCCAGTAAGAGCTTAAAAGCTACATTAATATCTTTTTTTAGCTTCCTATTATTCATCCAAGTTTAATCTTCTTTCCTCCCATTATTCCAAATTATTACTAAAACTATCATTTGTGCAAAAAAAAAATTATGAGTATATTACCTCCTTTCATTAAAGATATACTCACTGGTAGAGTAGTTAGCTAAAAGATAAGGCTAATACTGTTTAGATTGAGTTCCCTAATTTAAGAGAAGTCTTCACTCATTTCTTTAAAACAAATTCACCCAGTCATGGAATTTGTAGACAAGCATTATGCAGGAAATCATTAATTTGACCTTCAGTTTTCGGGAGAGAAAGCAAAAAATTTCACAACTATTGGATTAAATATTGGTCTACTAATAAGCAGGAAGAACAACTTAGTTTCTTACCCTGTTGAGCTCAAATATAGTCCCATTGTGTCTTCCCTGGTAGTGTTCACCACCATGGATTACTTAGTCCCAAGAATTTTCTGTCAAAATGCCCATTTCTGTCAATCAGCAATCAGAGCTTACTGGGGATGGTTAATGTGAGAATGGCATGGCATACTACACTTTAATATGAAAGTGACCTGCCCTGATTTCAGAAATGGGTCATGCATATATGAACCCATGAAAATAGTTGAGAACAGATATAAATAAGGAAATTCATTGTACAATGTAGTGTTCACCATTTCTGTACTGAAAAATATGTGTGTAAGTAGCTTTGGAATCAGTTTTTCTAAAAAGGCCTCTGGTTCCCAATTGTCCTTTTTTTTTTTTTTCCACTGACCAGTTTTACAGCCCCTCCTTTGTTACTCCTCTAAAGAGCCAAAGGGCTTCGCATCACTCCCTTCTGTCAAATTCAGAATTCTGCCTTTGCCTTCAGACTCAAGCCATTCCTGTTTCAGTGTCCTTCTGCCTTACCTTTGTCCTTAACCTTATTTTGCAGTTTTGTCTACCCTTCTGTAAAAGGGCTGTCTTGTAGAGGGCTCTGACTTCGTGTGGGCTCTCTGTTATTTATTTTTAACTGGTGGCACATCACCCTTCATTGTGACCTGCTGGTTTGCGTGCTCTTACTTCTCCAAAGCCACCTACATGTCTTTTCTTCTCTGAAGGGGTCTTCTTATGTTCCAATATAAGCTTTCCTAGCCAGAGTTTGCTAATTTTTGGCCATTTTAATATACATTTAGTCAAATGATGTAAATCCCATAAATATTCAAAGCTGAAGGCTCTATATATTGGTTACTTCATTACAGTTGCTTAATAGGGTATTTGACAGTTCCAGAAACAAAGCTTGAGGTTATAGCCCTGGCAAGATTGAAGGTATTCAAGTCTATTTTGATAAAGACTCATATTTTAAGGCTGCTTCTCTGTTAATGGACCAAGTACAGGATTATTGTGTGTTTTAGTTCTTCTTGGTGCAGGGTTTCTGCTTATAGTTATCCAAGTGATCACTAATATTACCAACATTGGAAATACCTTTCTGCTAACCTCTTTTTGTGGCATTGTCTTTCTCAGAGTTAAGTAACTTTTTCTAATGGAGTCTTTTGCAAGAATTTTCAGATAGCATTTTGACCTTCATTTGTGGTTTTGTGTGACTGCATTGATTCTTTTATATGTGCAACTTTTAAAATCATTATTAGGTCATTCTCTTGTCTTTGGTGATAACTCATCAATGAAAACCAAGAGAACATGAGAAGGTCTCACCATTTCTCCGCTTAGGACATGTGCCTAGCAGCAAGCATGCTGCAGGTTTCAAAGAAAGAGAATAGAAGTCACTCAGACCATTTCATTCAGTAAACATTTACAAGGCATCTTCCCAAGCTTCACAGCAAATACTCTTTCCTTGGAACCTGTGGCCATCTTGTTGGGTAGCAAGAGCAACTACTTCTCTCTTTGTAATTCAGATTTCTGTAATGCCATTTGGGTGACCACTGAATGATGAATCCCCACTTCCACATATTTACAGAACACTGCACTTTACATATGCCAAGCCCAGAAACGGCCGGATTCTCTCAAATTTTCTTGGTTTTCATTGGTGATTCATCATCCAATCCCCTTCAGGACTCAGTCCTCGTATATAGGACTTTAAATTCCCATAAAGTGTGACTACCATCATTTATTGCAAAGAAAGGGGTCATAGAGTCATTGATCACATACAGAGGAGTCGAGGTGAAATAGCAGTAGGGATGTCCCTGTGTCATGATAGTTATGAAACTGAAAACTTACAACTGTCAATTGAACTTAGAATTAATTATTAACAGAACAAGATTTTTAAAAATGGCATTGTCTCTGGAACCCTCTTATTGCTGCAAAGAAAGTCATGGATGAGAAAGCCCTCTCTGGGCTTACTATAGGTTCACTTGAATTGAACCTATAGTATTACTATAGGATTACTATAGATCCATTTGATTACTATAGATCCATTTGAATTGTTGAGATCATTTTAAGTTCAGGAGATGATTTTTTTGGTTTTGCTTTTGTTTTTCAGGAGATTTTTTTTTGTCTAAATCTACTTAACTGTTACAAAATGATAGATTATATAGAATATTCAATACTATTTCAAAGTTTTGATAGCATTTTCTCACAACATTATCTTATAATTGACAACATTCATTACATGCTTCATCAGAATGTTTTCCTAATTGAATTTTTAAAATAAGTGCATCACTTTTTGAAATATGGTTCATTTGAGTTGAAAAGTAATTGGAAAGAGGGGACTTTTCTTACTAATTTCCTGATTAAAATATATGTTGCAGAAAAGTTTAATCTACTTTTATTTTTAAATTACTTAATTTCTTACAAGTCAGAGACAATAGTTGCATAATCATGCCCCCTGTAATCATGGGAGCCTGTTCCTTTCCACAACACTGATGCTAATAGACGTTTATAAGCATCTATGGTCAAATGAATGTGGAAAAGTCTGAATCAAAATAGTGAAACATTTCATAACTATGATAGTACTTAAATTTTCATACACTAAAGCAATTTATGAGTTTCAGAGAGGGTGATATAGTGTATTTGTCTAATTAGAGCATGCTTTGAAATTGTGATCTTGCATGACTCATGTTGACACACTTAAGAAAAATCTGACCAAAAATAAGAAATGCCTTAATGATGATAAAAGCCCTAACCCTACCTTAATCATAACCCTAAGACTCTAGATTTCATTGACTCTTACTGCATTTCTTTGCTGTAAAAAAAAAATTACAGCCAATTTATTAGCTTAAAACAACACACATTTATTATCTTGACATTCTGGAAGACAGAATTTCAAAACAGATTAATCAGACTGCATTTCTTCTGGAGGCCATGGGTAAAAATCTATTTCTTTGCCTTTTCCAGTTTTGGGGAGGTTGTTTGCATTCCTTGGCTCTTGGCCACAAATCTCTCTGACCTATGCTCTGTGCACTTCTCCATCTCTTGATTCTTCTGCCTGTTTCACTTACAAAGACCCCTGTCATTATTCTACCTCTCCCCAGTAACTCAGGATAAGGGCCGCACATTAAAATT